CCAGTATTTTCGCCCCCCAAAATTGAAATCCTAGCTACGTCCATTAATACATTTATTCAAACTATAGTGAGTTACTCTATGGTAGTAAACTGCATTGCACTTGACAATAAAGAAAAACTAAGTAGCAAGTACAGTATCCAAAAATATAGCACGTGTAGTCGTTCAATGTGTACGAGTCATGTATGATGTTTCAAACACTGTTTTACTAGTTTCAGAGTGAAATAGATACCCCGTTTTAACAAAAAATGTATTCGTTTCACTTTATGTTCCCTCGTGTCCACATAAGATACTCAATAAATTAGTTAATTTAACACGTACAAATCTATTAAGATGTTTCAAACTATGATAAAATTAATTTTTGAGTGAAATCGAGACATGTGACTCAAAACGGCATCTGATCGTTTTAAACGCATGGTTGACGTTTCTACTCATTTAGTTTTGTTGAATAAGGGTATATGAGGTAGTTTATAAATTATAATTTAAACTATTTATTTTAAACATATTTTTTTGGTCAAAAGCTAAAATCCCAAATTATATTATTGAAGAGGCTATTTGACCCAATTACCGGTAATAGTTTTCCCCGGCAAAATCAGAGATCGAGGAACCGCCGTCGAAAAAGACCGCAGCGATGGGTTCCACAGCGGCCCTTAAAGAACTACAGAGAGACCTTGAGAGCAAGGCCAACGATCTGAGCAAACTCCAAAAAGGTATAGTTTCCCTCACTCCCCACCCCTTCGATAAACCCTAACACGCACTGTACACTCTTTTTGTGTGTGTGTTTTTTATATATATGTAGACAATTTGTGCAGATATAGCTAAGAACCACCAAGTCCGAAAAAAGTATACTATTCAGCTTGGAGAAAACGAGCTCGTTCTAAAGGTCCTACCTTGCCTGCTTTCTGTATGCGTGATTTGATTTTTTTGGTTTAACGTATTTATATTGGATATTTGGGGCTTGTGTTTGAAGGAATTGGATCTGTTGAACGAGGATGCAAACGTTTACAAGTTAATCGGACCAGTGCTAGTCAAACAGGACTTGGCGGAAGCTAATGCCAATGTTCGCAAGCGAATAGATTACATCTCGGCGGAATTGTATGTCCTTTTTTACTTAGCTAATTTGGTTGTTGTTTACTTGTGGCTTTTGTTTAATTTAATCTAATTCTTTGGTAGACTTGGCATTTCAGTATGCCTGACCTATTTACTCTGGTTGAGCTCATATCTGAAACACCTTATGTATTTCATGGAGCCTCAGCCAAGAAGCAAATTGATTTGTAAAAACTTGAAGACTTAGCCCAAATTCTTGGTAAAAATCAAAAAGAATAAAAATTTTAGTCCAGCTCGAAAATTAATTTTAGCATAACTAACTTTATTCCCAACCCAAGGCCAATGTTCAATTATTCAAATTTAATTTAAGACTCTACAACAATTACATATTTATTTTATTCATATTCATGATTCACAAATAACTTGTTACCAAATTAGGTATTTTATTTCGCACATACATATATAACTAAGTTTAAAGAGT